ACACAACAGTTTTTTGATAAAGTTTCATTTTTTTTTATGGCATTCAGAAAGGAATTGTTGTCCAGACTTCAAACTTCCTCTAAATTTTCATAATATTATTTTAAGATAAACATGATATAATTCTTAAAATATTAAAAAAAAAAATAACAAATATTTACAGCCATGTGACCACCAGTGGTCACTTGATTTATATTATTGGTATGCCAAGTATATGTTTTTCAGAATCATTTCAAATTTGTATACAATATATAATATAGCTAACACATTTAAAATATAAATATAAAAAAAAGATGTAATGATACCTGCTACACCACCGTTTGTATTTTAGTGCCATTATTATAGTACCACGGAAGAGTTGATAATATAATATTATTATATTATAATCATTTACAGTCATGTGAGGTTGTAGTAATTTATAGGAAGGCGCTGGTGGTCACATACCTATACAATTTCAGAATTACAGATAATCTTATGGTCATATGACAACCAATGTAATTGCTATGGACTAGCGTCCCGTATTGCTTAGTTCACGGTCAACTAGGTAATAATTATGTAGACTCCACCTGAGAGGGTAACAATCACTACATAATAAAAAAAATCTAATTTATTTTGAAATTTAGGAAAAAATTTTATTTTTGAAAAAAGTTGGATGAATATAGTTAAAAAATAGTAAAGGAAACTAAAAATTGATTAATTAGGTCTATGTTTTCCCCTTTGTATTGTTTTTTTTTTAATATGCTATTTTGATTTTGATCCAACTTAAAACCCAACATCATTAATTATTAATGATAGAATGATATTAACACATTCACKGCGTCAAATAATTAGTTGCGACTCGTTCGATGCGTCACGAAATATATCGATGTTTCGCTAGGAGCGTGCCACCAATTCGGACGTTTTAATTAGCGTCGGATATCGCCGACAGGCGCACTTGGTGATGTAATTATTCATAATTATTTCTGGGAAAGGGCTTAATTTTTATTTTCAAAGGGTAGTAACATATTCAAGGGTGGGTCATTACCCCCCCCACCCAATCACATTTGTAAAAATTTTATGTTGTTAAAAAAATATTATTAACATATTACAACAATTGACTATTATTAAAAATTATGACATCCCCCCCCCATCCAATCAAGTCTCTGGAACCATCCCTGTACTTATGAGCAATTTGTAGCAAAAACAACATTTATAACTTTSAATGTATTTATTGTATTTTCCTTTAAATAAAATATTACAAAATTTAAAATAAAATAAAAAGTACCTTTGTTCTTAACATAAAAAATAACATAAATTTCTTAATTTAATTTGTATAACATTTAAAACAATAATTTTATTTATTGGTGGTAGTTTTTGAAGCATGGGTAGACACAGAGTCCSTAATAGATTGTACATAACATATCGATGATAACGATAATCAAATATGCGTAATGTTCGACCGAAAAAAAAACAACAAAATAAGTTATTTATAAACGGATTAGACTGAAATATCAAGAATTTTCTGTGCAGAGGCGTGTGTAAAAATAAAAACATTACTGTAGTGCGTCGTTATTTTACAGCATATTTAATCCAACAGACCTGATGTCAGATATATCCGACAGGCGCACCGTTCACATGCCTACTTGTCGGCTATATCTGACAGGCGCACCGTGAAAAAATTGGTTCGTCGGCTACAGCCGACAAACGCAGCGAATGTGTTAATAATATATAATAATATATAATAAAATTGTTCAAACAGATAGATATTTTTAATTTGGTTGTTTTTGTGTTCCAAATAATTTGAATAATTTTTGTTTTATTTTTACCATAGAAAATGACACATCCTGAATCAGTTTTGACTGCACTTCAAGTATTGGAGTTACGTGAACAATTAGAAGGCAAAGGTGATGAGACATGTAGTGGTGTAGACATGGAAGACGAAGAAAAGGCATTACTTAGAGAAATGTGCAATGTAATAAATCAAATTTATAAAAAAATACAATTATCTATAAAAATTAATTTGAAATATTTGTAGGTGGTATGGCGAAAACTGGAAGATACATAATAATTTGCAAAGAGTTGCCACTTTGGATTAATATTCTGGATGCATAATAAGTATTAAGTTATAACTATAATCAAAAACCATTTACTTATGGTTGTGCTTTTATGTATTTTTAGAATAATTTGTATCATTAAGTATTAATATTTAATACCGTTACTATTAAATATAGTTAAGTAGAGTATTTTGTGAGAAAAAACTTAAATTTCAATCCTATTTTGTACTTTTTAATTTCATCTAACAAATAGTAGTTTTTTTATATAATTTATAATTTGCTTATGTTTTATTTTTATAATTTAAAATTTAAAATTCATCTATATATTCATACTAGATACTAACTAGTAATGCTTGTATTAATATTATTAATACATATTTTTTTTCTAATTGCTTAAATACTATTTCTTTTAATAAATAACATTAAATTATTTAATTTTCTCTTAACCTTCACAAATTTAGTTTATAATTAAACACTATCTACTCCAATACTTTATTTTATTTTATTCAAATGCTTCTCATAATAGGCTAAATTTTGTTATTTATATATCCAATTTACTGACTGATACTTAACCAAATACTTATTAAAATTGAAATAAAATTTATTAATATGTATTGTTGGTTATATAAAAAAAAAATGTATAAAATATTATATTGTAATGAGATGATAATATACTAATATGTGTATACGAATAAGAATAACACGAATAAATAAACAAATAAACATGTGCTGTATACTAATATTTAATTTTAAAAAAAAATGTTGATTTACTTAACATAATAATTATTAGCATTGTATTCATGATACATTTACAGTAAAATTATGACACTATAGTTAACTTTAACATTTCACATGACTAATATAAACTAATTTCAAAAATTGATTTCTGTTTGTTTTTCTAAATAAAATATTAATTTAATGTTTAGTCTTAAAATAGTACAAATCAGTATAATTAATAAATTCTTATCTCTAACAGTTATTACCCACATTGAAAATATTAAAAACAATGAAAATTATTTTTTTTAATTTTTGAATGTACAAATGTCATATTGTATAGTTTTTATTATAGATACATCTATTGCCATAAAATATTTAGAAACAAATATAAGTTTTTCCATATATTATTTCAAAACATTTGTGCATTAGATTATAATATAATATTTATCAATTATTAATGATCCTATTAATTTTACTTTGTGTTAAATTACAAAATATAATTAAAATATTTATGATATATTAATTTTTTATGTTTAAAAACAATAATTATAAATCTTTTTTAATCAGTATTTACTAATTTAATTGTTTACACTAATTATTAATTAAGATCCATTGTAATTAATGTACTGTATTTAAAATTTAAGTGACTTAATTTGTAATTTTATATTATTTATTTATCATTCTATTTTATATATTTATCATAAATATGAAGTAATTTTTTATTTTATCGTTTCTTGCCATTGCAATGTTTAAAATGGATACATTTTGTTATAATTGATACAAAATATTTAATTTAATGTTTATTAAACTTGAAAAAAATCGCTAAAACACACTCAATTATATGATTTATTGAATATTAAGTTTTATTTGTGTTTATAAATAACATTTAAAATACATTTTCAACCGATCATGTCCCCTATATCATTTCATTTATATTCAATGTCAACCTAATAAAATTGTGTAATATAATATAGCCATATAGTGGTGGATTTTCCAAATTATTTGGATTTATGGATATGGTTTCACTAGTAGTCAAAATAGGGGACAACTAGGATAAATTTTAAAAAAATAATGTAGAAATTAAATTTATTAGAATATAAAAATGGTACTTTAATTGAATAATACAAATCATTGGGGCTATCCATAATATTCAAATTTTGAATATACCCTTCCATCATAACAATAACTTATGTTAAAAATACGACGAGGTGACCGAGCGGTCTAACGCGTCGGCTGTGGCTCAGCCGGACCGGGTTCGATCCTCGACCATCGGGCGACATTTTTCTCCGGGCAAGTCACGGTGTCCGGAGAACAAGTGCCGCCATCCCCCACTCCGGGACATGGCAGAAACCTATGGGTGCCCCAATAGAAATTCTGCCAAATAGGCGTCTGAACTAGGCCTTCGGGCCTACTCCYGAATATAGTACCATACGAAAAAAAATGTCAAAAATGTTTTAATAATTATAGAATTATAATATTGTATCATTGTATAACATGCACAATAATTCTTACATACAAATATTGGTATACTATTGTTCAAAGAAATTAAGTGCCTATCTAAAATAATAACATGGTATATTTTTAGTAAAATCTAAATAGAAATAATTTATTTTTTATTGAAAATCTTTTTTTTCAAATTCTTGATTTCTTCATTTACTTTAAAAGTTGTTAAGTTGTTGATATTTAAAAAAATAAAAATAGAAATCATATTTTGGTTGTTAAATATATTATAGTTTATGCAGTTTAGGCTATAAAGCATTATTATCTGGTGTAGATTCTTAACAAAAGACCATGTTTTTAGAATAACTACTTTAAATCAAAATTTTTAAAAGTGTATCATTAATTTGAACAAAATTGTACATAATACAGTGATTTGCGTTATTGTATAGGTACACACACACAACAATAGTGTGTAAGTTTAGATGATTATTGATTAATGATTTGTACATTTTAATCATCATTTATTAGCATGAATTGTTACCAATTAGAATATTATTGGTTCACAGTAAACCAATTACAAATATAAGTTGACCAGAAAGGTCAAATTTTTACACAGCATCCCCATTAAGTATTTATCATGTATTGATATCGATATTGCTGAAATAGGTCAAGTCTTATTGTTTTAATTACTGTTTTCTTAAAATTGGCTCTGCTTCATACTTAATTAAATTTACCCATAACATTTAAGTATTATAAATTATTATTATTCTATGTGTTGTTAGCTTGTATCATTTATTTTAGATGGGTGTTTATAATGTTTAATATATTAACGATTTATATCTTTGGTCGATTTTAGATTCTGAGCGGAGCGATGAATGTATTGATTTTACCA